TTTTTTCACTATGAGAAAATTTTATTGAAAATGTCTATTTTGCCAAACTTAATAACAACTAGTTTTTTTAAGTAGTGTTTCCTATTTACCTGTGATACATTTAAGACTAAAACGCCTTTTATATCATAAAAAAACAAACAAATTAGAATAAACTATTAAATACTTTACACGTGTACATTTACAAAGTGTCTACACTAAGAACTTTCATTTCAGAGTACAACGTTCTGGAAAATTCTAGCTAAAACAATCATTCGAAGATAACATACTCTCTAGGTTCATTCATCTAATCTGGAAAAATTCTAGCTAAAACAATCATTCGAAGATAACATACTCTCTAGGTTCATTCATCTAATCTGGAAAAATATATATAAATATATACGCACTTAGAACTCACTTAGAAATCGTTTACAAACTCCCATCTGTGTTATTTGGGGATGGGTATGTGCAGATAATCCTTTGTGCAGCTCTGCATGAAAATTCTGAAACAAACTTTTCTTAAGGTATTTTATATGCATTTAAAATTCCTGTGTGGAAAAATAATTTTTATTCTCTTAATTGAAAAGCAAGTGACCAAAATTCCATTTGATATGAGATAACTGATAATCTAAAACCTTTAAATACTTAAAAATATAAATTTAACTTTAAGGAAAAGTCCAAAATATGGTGGTTTTAATATACATTATTGCAAGTAATATGACCAGTTGCACGTGGTTATGATTTTATAGTTTGAAAATGTATAATGGACTGTTGACTACATGATGAACTGCATTGATTTTGCGTACTAAACAATTTATGGTGTTTAAAGTATATTGAATAAAATATAAGTTTTCTTGTGAAAAACTCGTGGGGTTCGAGTTCCACAAGAATACCCAGTTTGCTAATTTTGATTTTCATAAATAATTAAAGTAAGTCCATACATATGATAAATTTTAGATAGGTTGCAGACCACCTCTATTTTTTGAGTTTTCTCAGACTTGCGTTTTTACTATTATATTTTAGGATATGATGAATGTGTCTTGAGAGAGAACCAGATGTCACATTCATTAACCTGTAGTATGTAATTTTGAAATAACAGACTAGAGAGAAGACAGCTACTTAACAGCACCTACTACCAACTCTTGGGCTACTCTTATTTAACTATTGGGATTTTACTGTCACTCTTATAATGAACTCGTGACTTTAAAGTGCAGAGCTAATGTTTATGGCCAACCACTAAGAACCTGGCCCTAATAAAAAGGACACTCTGATCAAGCACAAAATCACGAATCTACACAATATTATCTTTGTTTCTGTTCTTAGTTGATTAAATATCAGATAAGTTATTTACAGCTAAGCCAGTAGAAGCATACACAAGAATAATAGCTAACTTAACATATTTTACCAACAGATTGGGATTGAAACGAGTTGTTGTCTCACCCACACACACATGGATTTTATTATATTGTGTATGCATCATTTCTGGTAGTTACCATGGAAACATGGATTCAGAAAATTGATGCATTTCTCCCAATCCACGAAGTTGTGGATAAGTTTTCACGGATGGCTGCAAAAGTTCCAAGGGATTTACCGCATACTCTTCTGTGTACTTCTGTTCTTGGTGGTAATGAGATTACCATATACCCACACAGATGGTAAATGTATAGCAGCTTAAGTTACTTTGATAACAGTTTGGTCAGGATGAAAACCTGGTCATCAGAAAAGAATGGTGTCTGAAGCAAGGTTATACTATATATTTTTTTCTTTACAATCTAACTGAATTTAATAACTTAGATGTTTTATGACAACATATTTTTGCTCTTAGTGGTAATGATTTCAGATTCCTATCACCTGTGGAGCAAACTTGGGTATACTATGTTCAAAGATATATGGATCAAATTACTCCATGTGTAACACCAAACCTTTACAGACTTGAGACAGAAGTTTGACAATAAATCATTACTTAGATAAAAAGTACTTCTATTTATAATACATTTCCTAGTGTACGTGAACATTTTTTATCACATTTAAATAACAAAAAGTGTTTAAAATATTTATAATTATGGCAAAACTACTAAAGCTACATGCTGCCATCCCTATTTTTGAGCTACTGACCAGAGGGAAGACAGTCGTTGAGCAGCACCCTACCACCCACACTAAGGGACTGACTGTCACTCTGATAATGCACCCATAGCTTACTATGCACGGAAAATGTTGCATTATCATAAGGTTTTGAATCCAGCTCGCTGGCTATGAAATCCAGAGTTCTATAACATGACGAGTCTACCCTCCCTTAAAATGAATTAAATAAAATAAATATTACATTGGTAGAGTTTAAAAAACAAATAATTTAGTATTGATTATGCATTCCTTGTTATGTTAATTCTAATTTACAAAAGATAAAGGGTTCTTAATGTATCTAATTAATAAAATGCTCAGTGTGTTTTGTAAAATTCACTCAATTTTTAACAACTAATGAAAATATTAGAAAATGAGTTATTTGTAACTGAATATCCACAATATTATGTTTAGAAATCACTTTCATGCATTAGAATGTCTCTTCATGCAGGTTGGTACTCTGCCCCATATCCACCACCCAGTAAAACATCATTCAATAACAGATGTTTGGTGAGGACAAGGTTCTTAGCCAGCCACAGTCTCTTCATGCAAGTTGGTACTCTGCCCCATATCAACCACCCAGTAAAACATCATTCAACAAACAGATGTTTCGTGAGGACCAGGTTCTTAGCCAGCCACAGTCTCTTCATGCAGGTTGGTACTCTGCCCCATATCCACCGCCCAGTAAAGACATCATTCAACAAACAGGTTCTTAGCCAGCCACACTAGCATCCATGTTTCCTTGGCCTCATCCCTACTGTTTCTTGGCTATGGGGGGCTTCCCAAATATGTAGTCTTATTGTCATAACCCAACAACCACTCTTCATCTGAAAGATGCCATTGTGACACAGATCTGGACAGTTCTACAATGGTTGTAACATTAAGTAGCTGCTATAGTGGCATCCTCAGTGCTATTCCAGAAACCAGTAAAATACACTTGCACAATACCTTATGCATGTATGAAAAATATATTCTCCCATATATTACACAAATTACCTTACAAATATCTATACTGACTTTATAACAACCATGTATACCACTTGTATGGCAGAATGTGTACATTTATTATTTTGTATTAACCTTAGTCCTTTAAAAATATTTTTCTACTTTTGTTCTTATTTCCATCTACGAATTTAACACACATGCACTTGCTATCTGAAAAATACAATGAAAGGGAACTATTCTGTACTATCTACTTCTGTATGGCCATATAATACTTTCTTACAAGTTGTCTTTCAAAATTTGTAGTGCATACTGGAGGGATTTACACATTTTGATAAAAGTTTAGAAAAAACAACCATTACACTTCAGATAAATACAAAAGAATTTATTTTTAATGAATCTAGGTTTCAAATGGACAGCAACTTGCTCTCCACAATCCACAAGAACACTATAAAGACCAAACTAC